AAAGCTCAGATTAACCGCCCCATTGACGTAGGAAGAAGCATCTCTATGAACGATGCTAATGGAGGCGAAGGAAAATTACAAGGCTTAGTTGAGAATGTTCCACTTACTTGTGGAGCAGTCCAAACCAAAGCAAATCTTTATGTAGGTGACCATGTACCCTTCAATTTGCTATTAGGAAGACCGTGGCAACGCGGGAACTATGTTAGCATTGATGAAAGACAAGATGGAACATGGCTCGTATTTAAAGACCCGCATAATCTTCACATTACACATGAATTGCTATGTACCCCTGATGGTATTAATCCCGAGTGGGTATTTGAACCATCAACTTGGTATGGTCAAGACTCCCTAGCAGTTACCTAATTTTTGGAGATGAAATGGCCATTGATAATGAGCCAGAATTAAATGATACAGACTTATCTTTACTTAGCATGGCTGAATTAATGGGAAATTCCCTAAATAATGAGAATTTTGCATTTTTGGCCGATGTTTTGGGATACATAATCAAAGTTCTACCAACAACCAGAAAGTTCGAGAAAATATACATCACCCATGATTGTAATGTACTAGGCCCTCAATTGATTTTATACCTACTCCCTATGGTATAATAACCCCAGAAACCGGGGCACAAAAGATAACCCCCCCCTTTGCTCTCAGAATTGTTGCTGCCGCCTGTTGCGCCCAATTTGGAAATCCACGTGACCGGCATGCAAAACGTTGCCGAATCCCTAACTGCGTTTTGGGCTCCGCCGGAAGTTACCGGCTGAGTCCAAAATCTCAAAACAACGATTTGTTGACTCTGCAACTTCGTCCTAACACAGCCTCTCCCACCTCTAAGTTCTTCTTGCCGTCTCCTTGTTTCTCTCCCGTTCCGCCGGCGAATGCCGAGGCTGGATGGGAGGGACGTGCACTTACTGGCGACTCCCTCAAGCCCACATATCCGGATGACGCCGGAGTTGGAGGAGTGGCGCCACTGTTGGAGATGTGAGTATGTTTGGGAGAAGGTGTGTTGTATGACCCCTCCCTCTTTGAACAACAACTAACGCGTGTTTTGCGCGACCCTTAGAGCATAACACCTCTCTCCATCATGTCCTGGACCCAGCCTCCATTGTTTCGCCTACCCCTAGTGTATTTCCAGTGGCGCACGAGGTACGTGTGCTCCCGCCACTCCTGCATCAACTCCCACCTTGGGACCTAACCCTCTCTTCTCTCCCCAATCCCCAGTGTCTCTTAATGGCGCCGGCAGTGACCTGGAGCAGTCTGCTCAGGTCCTGAAGGGCCTCAATGTCCTACAATCGCCTTGCCTCCAGGTCCCAAGTGCCTTTTCTGTTCTGCCCAACACCATCCCCTCTGCTCAGATCCTGGCGGCCACTAACGTCTTTCCAACGCCGTCTCCTTCTGTTTCCAAGGCCGCCGGTATGCTCTCAATGCCGCCTTCACCTGCCCAGGTCCTGACAGCGACCAAAGTCTTGCCGTCGCCGTCTGCCCAGGGATGAGGGCCACCAATGTCTTACTCGCCGTCACCTCAGTTCCCAACGGCGACCAACATCTTGCCATCGCCGTCTCCTCAGTTTTCAACGGCGACCAATGTTTTTCAGACTCCGTCTCCACAGAACCTGCGCATAATGCCTTGCCGGCTCTCTCCCATCATCTACTCTACCCCTTCTAGTTTTGATAGCGCCTCTCACTCTCTCCCTTACTCCAATCCCTTTACTATATCTCCTGTACCTACACCCTCACCTAACCCTGAGGATTGGCGCACTGCGTCTCCCTCTTCCTCTATGGAACTGGACTCTATCCTGCCAAAACCTTATGCTGAGTCTTATGTGCGTTCAACGGCCAGCCCACCCAGCTGACGAGCTGTGGGCTGATGCCCGTCGCGTCATCCACGTTACCTCTATCTCGCACGGACCACATTACTTACCATCAATTGAACGCGTTCCGTTTTCTCGGAGTCACCTGACACTGTGGCCCCCTCCTAAGAGTCCTGTACCTACCAGCCCTAACCCTGATCGTCCCCGCCGCCACCCTATGTGCCTAGTCGTGCGGACGAAGTCGTCCGCACGACAACTGTTTTGCCGGTGCCGGATAGCCACCAATAATCTACTCGACTACTTTGCAACAGACCCCTACCTGCTATATGTGATGAGCATCCTCGAATGCTCGTCGAAGTTGCTGATGAATACCTGGCCTACTGTGATTGCCTAGACAAACCTTTGTGCTACCTGACTGGGATGCCAAATTTTGGCATTAAAAACGTTCCGTCAGAAGAAGTTACCTGAGCCGTTCCCCGTCTCCTGGACCTAGGTCCGAGCGCTGACTGGGATGATCGAGCTCGGGACCATTCTCGATCACCGAGCTCATAGCCGTGCGCTTATTGCCAAGCTCGAGGACAGTCTTTTCGCCTCGCATGTTGCACGAGGGACTTCGACGTCCGAGCGTTCTCACGTGCGACCCCAATCAGCGCATAGGCACCCATGTACCCCCAACATTCTACCAAGCTGATCATCCTCCTATCAACCCGTTTTTTACCCTCGACGAAACTAATTATTTAAATACTCTTACAGCAGTAGCCGAATTTCACGGGGAGCATGACCTTGCATCCTCGATCGAAGCGGCCCTGCTCCTGCCTTATCCCGATCCGGACATCGTGCACTCGCTTGTCGAAGAGCATGTGCTCGATGAACAAGATGAGTTCAAAGTTATCAAATATGCTCGAGCGCGGGACCGTGCGCTCGAAATTCGACGAGTCCGTCTATATATAGTTGCTTATCGTCCTTTTCGTTCTTCGACTATTTCTAATGCGTCGCAGCTTCGTATTTGCGCGTGTTTCGACGACGACGAGATCGACGATGACTCCGACAGCAACAACGATGAACAGGGACCCTCGGAGTCCCATATCTTCTTCTTACCTTAATCTCGAGGTAAATGACTCTCGTATCCTCGACGATAGCGTGCTGACGTCATCGTTCAGGATCGAAAGCCCATTTCTGGCCCGATTGATTTTATTATTTTGTATTTATATTTTCAGTTTGATTTTATTTGTTTCTCGAGTTTTTTACCGTTTAAAACTCACAAAAAAATTGGCTTATGTTTTTCCAAGTGTATTTATAGCTCCGAGCTTCAGGTTTTTTGTTTCGAGCTTCGAGTCTCGTGTTTCAAATCTTGCCTTGTGTCCATTCAATTTTTTATTTGTTTCCCCGTGTATTTGTGCCTTGTTTGTATTTGTATTCCGCGTTTTTGTATTTTTTGTTTCGAGTTTGTTTATGTTTCAACTATTGGCCTTTGCCTTTGTGTATTTGTATCCCAAAAGTTCAGGGTTCGAGAACCCAGAACACCCATTTCCTTGTCTCTACCTATGTCAAGTATGGTAGCATGTGTTAGCATAGTTCATAATGCAACATGTGATTATCCTTATGTTGAGCCTAAGTTTTTAAGGCAATCAAGTGATAGTATATTTTGTCTAGCAATGTTCAGTGACAATATCACTGAAAGTTCTAGTGATGTACCTAAGCTTGTGTATCCTGAAGACTTAGAGAATGATGATCAAACAATTGAAGAATATTGTTTGAAGTGCGGTACCCAAGAAGAACGTCAAACATGCCTCGAGGAGCTGTTTGATGATATATCTGTTGATTCTGATTGGGAAAAATCCAAGTTCAGACCTGGAAATAGATGATGATTTCCTGGACTTTGATGAAGATGATTTATATTTAAATTATGAACCATCCACCCTTTCAGACCCATCTTATAACCCAATCCTTACAATGTATAAACGAGTTGACAAGAAAGTTAAGCCCGTTTCCGGTACTTTCCCTCAAGATGCTCGAGTCTTGAGGCAGTTTCCCCATGATCCTTTGAAGACTATGATTCCCTTGACACCACATCCACCTGAGTTCATACCTAATGGTAGATTGACCATTGAGCGTATGAAGAGTCTTAATATTAACTCGGCTGCTTTTCTTTGGCCCGAGGAGGTCAAACTGTTTCAACATATAATGCACTTAAACCAAGATGCACTAGCATTTGAAGAGACTGACCGAGGAACTCTCAAGGAATCATATTTCACCCCCTATATTATCCCAACCATCCCTCATGTTCCATGGGAATACAAAAATATTCCTATTCCACCCGGTATTAGAGAAAAGGTGATTGATTTGTTACGAACCAAGATTAATGCAGGAGTATACGAGCCAAGTCAATCAGCCTATCGTTCACGCTGGTTTTGTGTATTAAAAAAGAATGGCAAACTCCGACTTGTTCATGACCTTCAACCACTTAACAAAATTTCTATTCGAGATGCAGGCCTAATCCCGATTGTAGATGACTTTGTAGAGTCATTTGCTGGCCGTCAATGTTATACTGTTTTTGATTTGTTCTGGGGATTTGATGCTAGGAAAATGCACCCAGACAGCAGAGATTTAACAGCTTTCCTTACACCCTTAGGATTGCTAAGGTTAACTGCATTACCTATGGGATACACCAATGCTCCTGCGGAATTTCAGAAGTGCACTAGTTTTTGTATTGCAAGATGAAATTCCTCATGTAGCCAATGTTTTTATTGATGACTTACCGGTCAAAGGACCTAAGTCTACTTATCCTGACGAAGAAGGAGATCCCGAGGTGTTAGAAGAAAACCCTGGGATCAGAAGATTTATCTGGGAACATGCTATTGACGTGCATAGAATAATGCACCGCATAAAAGATGTGGGAGCAACATTTTCTGCTACCAAAATACAGCTATGTTTGCCTGATGTCCTAATAGTAGGACAAAGATGTACACCAGAAGGAAGATTACCTGACACAGAAAAGGTGTCAAAGATCCTCAATTGGCCTATTCCTACCACAGTCAAAGAAGCAAGAGGCTTCATGGGCCTTTGTGGAACAGTTCGTATTTGGATTTTAGGTTTCTCAGAACTAGCAAAATCTATTACCTACCGACTATGGAAGAAAGATGAACCCTTTGTTTGGGGTGATGAACAAGATGAAGCATTTGAAAAGTTGAAAGAGAGAATATGTTCTGCCCCAGCAATGAGAAGTATAGATTATACTTCAGCCAACCCCGTGATTTTGTCAGTGGATTCTAGTTTTGTGGCTGTAGGAATTATATTGTCCCAATTGGATGATGAAGGAAGAAGAAGACCAGCCAGGTATGGATCTCTACCCATGGGAGATACAGAGTCAAGGTACTTCCCAACCAAAACTAGAACTCTATGGACTTTTCCGTGCCCTTAGGCATTTCAGGCTTCACATTATTGGAGTACAGACTCTAATTGTGGAAGTTGATGCAAAATACATCAAGGGAATGCTTAACGAACCTGATTTGCAACCTAATGCAACCATTAACCGTTGGATTCAAGGAATACTCCTATTCGATTTCACCCTTGTTCATGTTCCTGCCACACGTTTTAAAGGTCCTGATGCATTATCTAGGAGACCTTTAGCAGAAAATGAAGAAATAGAACCTGATGAAGACTCCTGGCTAGATGATATAGCTCTCTTTGCAGGAATCTCTCAGGAAGACTACCGACCGCGTTCACTATCCATTCCTATGTATTCCTATGAACCCACTTGTCTACCATCCGTCTTAGCCTCAACAACTAGTCAAGAGAAGACCCTAAGAGAAATATATAAATTTCTCACCACCTTGGAACCACCTAATTTTGAAAAGACTGCCCAGCGTAAGAAATTTGTTACCCGGGCCACTCAGTACTTTGTCCGTGGTGACCAGATGTTTAAAAGATTAGTTGGACGACCCCCTCTACTTGTAGTATTTGATGCTGACAAGAGAGCTGCAATTCTTCATAAAGCTCATGAAGAACTAGGACACAAAGGTGTTCAAGCAACTTTTGAGACCATTCGTTACCGTTTTTATTGGCCTCATTTGTACACGGACGTTAAACATCATGTACAGTCTTGTCATGATTGTCAAGTAAGAAGTGTAAAGAAAATGCACATCCCCATTACTGTTTCTACCCCTGCGACTATATTTGTCAAGATCTATGTGGATATTATGAAGATGCCTTCAGCTGCAGGCCACAAAAATCTTGTACTCGCTAGGGACGATTTATCCCGCTATGTTGAAGGAAGAGCATTACGAAACCCATCTGCTAAAGCTATGGCAAAGTTTTTCTGGGAAGATTTGTATTGCAGATATGGAGCCATTGGTCAAGTAGTGACTGACAATGGACCCGAAGTTAGAGGAGCATTTGAACAACTCCTCATGCGTGTTGATATTCCCCATGTCCAGATTTCCCCTTACAATTCCCAAGCTAATGGAGTTGTTGAAAGAGGGCATTTCAATATCAGAGAAGCTATAGTAAAAAGTTGTGGAAAGAATATTGCAAAATGGCCTGAGAAAGTAAGGCAGGCATTGTTTGCAGAAAACATAACCACCAGTCGTGTGACTGGATGGTCCCCCTTCTATTTGTTACATGGAGTTCATCCCGTTCTAACCATTTGACCTAACAGAAGCAACCTTCATGGTAGAAGGATTCCATGCTAATATGAATCCAGCAGATTTCTTATCCCTACGTATCCGCCAGATTGAAAGGCGGCAGGAAGACTTAGACCGTGCTGCAAAGACCTTGAAAAAGGCCCGGTTCAAGTCTAAAGCTCAATTTGAACACAAGTTTCGTCTACGAATGCATCGCGAAGCTTTCCAAAAAGGAGACTTAGTCCTTGTACGCAATACAAGGATTGAGAAAGAACTCAATCGCAAAACCAAACCCCGTTATCTAGGCCCTTTTGTTGTAGAAAGACAAACCAAGGGTGGATCTTATGTCTTAAGAGAAATGAATGGTGTCTTATCTAAACGTGGTGTAGCTGCATTTAGACTCGTACCATATATCTCTAGAGATTTATCATTATTACCATCACTAGCAGATCCCCTTGAAGAGGAAGATGATGACATATGCCTGTCAAGTGCCAATGTATCAACAGAAGATGAGTCAGTCATAGAAAGTGATTGACTTATTTCAACCCATCCCACCCACCCATATTCTATGGACATGCATCATATAGTACTTATGTTTGCATGAACTTAGAGAAATATGACTGCTTAACAAAAAAGATCTGTGAGCATGGACCTTATCAGAAGATAAGCTTACATGATCATGGAGCCAAAAATCTATATATTTTAACAAGGTACTTGACAGCTTCTTCCTTACCCACATTTGGTGCCCATATCCCATTTCATTATTTTATGTATTCACCACTATTATGCATGATTGAGCACACAACTGGGGACAGTTGTGATTTCACTGCCCCGCGGATGTCCTGCATGATTTGGGAATCATGCATGGACATGACTACTAGGTATCCCCCTAAAAGACAAAGTCTGTTAGCTTAGTCCTCAGACTAGTCAACCCATACCTTGGTATCAAACCTTGGTCCAATAGTTTCAGTTTTCCCTCAGTGATTCATGAATCCACCATGTTTTGAAGAAAAGTCATATGTGAGATGGGAATCACATAATGACCTAGTTGATATGAGAAGCAAAATGAAGGTTAATGTATTGCCTTTCATTTGGCTTATTCACTTTGGCTAGAGAAACCCATAGAGAAAAGTTCAAAGCCTAACAAAAACCTATCTAAAAAGCCCGCGTATTGTGTACTATTATTTGTTCCATTATTTCTGAGTTGTTTTCTCTAGTGTTTCTTTACTTTACTTTTCTATTAGGATGCTCTGACTAATCAGATGCTTCATAAAATTGTACCTACAGGGTATGATGTCATAATGATGTCATAGGACTTCACCTACACTCCTGCAGGTATTTTGGTTGAAAGATATGATATCATAGTGATGTCATAATGATGTCATGTTCCATGGAATTTGCTAGAACATTCCAATGACTCATAATGACTCATAGTGACTCATAGTGACTCAGAATGATGTCATTATCCCACCATGAATATT